GCCCACACATTATGAGAGAGTGTAAAATTGTGTATCAAAACAATGCCCTTCAGTGGTATCAAACTTTTTGATAGAATATGGATAGAACTGTGGTTTATCATAAGTGAAAAGCACCTATTTTTGTAGCCAATCTCTGTTTGAAGAACACTAAAAGACAAAACAGCAATCAGGTATGTATTATGAATTGCCATTTTTATTTCTCATTTGTGTTCATGTACACTTAAGTATTCTAGAGTCCTAGAGTTGGAAGGGTTTTAGTTTCTAATCTAGTCATCCTTGTCTGAACTTGGTGATTCAGAAGCTATAACCATCACTGACGCTGAAGTCAACTCAGTCCCAGGAAAGACTCAAACCAGAAGTCTCCAGCATACTCTCTTCTTACTGTTTAACTTCAAGGAGGCCAGTCCACATGTCAACAGAGGATATGGTGTTGATCACTGGAAACTTATAGAGATACCTGCTACAGAAACAAACCCATTACATATTAGCCAACAAAACATACCAACAAAGGTTCTAGCTAAGAAATTCCATTGGATTAGGATGTTTAAGAATGGGCAAGACTTGGATGAGACAAAACTCCTTTGGGAAAACTGTTCCATAATCCAAGCATCACAATTGAAGAGTCTTACTGGGATCATACCCTGAACAATAAGCCATAATGTAGCTTGTTTGGTACTGGTTTAAGGTACTACGTGAGGCCAGCCATTGTGGTTTGTGTGCCTGAGGTTATGCTTTAGCATGATGTGTGATCCCAGCCATTTATGGCTGATTCAACAAACCATTGTTAAAAATCATGGCTTAGCCTCTGTGGGATAAGAACCAAGGAGTGACTTGTGACAAAGGCCCTTGTGGGCATAGTGGTGGAGAGCTGACTAGCATGTAACTGAAAGCAAACACTGGACTCCAGAGATGTAGAGAATTGGCATAGTTTATTCTCCCTTTCAGCATTCCGCAGTCACTTCAGCATTCTGGAACAGGGTTGGCAAACAAAATCAGATTCTTTGGAGGCTCAGCAGGCCAGACTAAGAACTCTCATTCAGATCTAATGCCAAAGTCCAGAGCATTCTCTATTTTTTCTCTAGCGGGTGTGTAAGCAGCACCCTCCTTGGCTAGGCTCTGGCTCCCTTTTGCCCCTCCTGACCATGCAGCTTGAAGAACCAGCTCTCTTCCCCGGCTGGACAGTGACTTTTGCCAAGGGCAGGCAATGTAGAAAGAGCAAGTGCCAACCTGAAGAGGGTAATCTAGCAACTTTCTTGGCTTTGCTAAACAGATATCTGCCACCTCCAGCCTCTCTACATCTTCTCCATCAGGGTGGCCTTTATGCTCAGCAGGCACTGATTCTGCCAACACTCATTTCCTGCTGAGGTGGCTTTCTCACAAGCAGGCTGGAGTCTTCCCTCCCATCCCCCCATGACTCAAGCGGAGTACACATCTTGAGTCAGTTTGATTGTGAGGAGACCTTGAAAGGTGCTGACCCTGGGCCATCTCCGGCTCTAACTCAGAAGCATACAGTTTTTCCCAGATCAAGGGCCCCTCCTGGGGCTACAAAAAGCAATAAGAAGGCCTGGGTGATAACTAGAATTGGTATCGTTTCATTTACATTTAGTTAAAATTAAATATAGTTAACATCATGCTCCAGCCATATATTTCCCCTTACGACCATTAAAGATTACAATTTGGTAACAACTTTTGGAAGTTTCTGGGGCCCACCCAAGGCTTTTAGGAGCTGTAGGTGACCTCAGATGGTCCAGAGTAAAGAATAATGCTCAAGCGAAGCATGAGAATAAATTAAAAACTAATTAAGCCTGCACTCTCAGAGTAGGTAGCACTGGCCTAACGGCTGTTTGAAATAAGGAAAGAAAAGTCACAAACCCAAAGCTGCTTTTTTCCCTTACAAAAAGGAGAATGCATTTAATATTTGGGTATCTGAGGACCTTAATGCTGTACTGTACTGTACTGTACTGTACTGTACTGTGTTATACAGTATACATAGCTTCTGTCCCTTTAAGGCTCAGTTTTTCTACATTCAGGACCTCCCCTTAGAGAGCGTAACTTGAGTCGTGCTTTGGACGGGTCATTTCCTTTTTCCCTTTACAATACTGCGCTTCCTCTGCGAAAATGGCTTCCGCTGGTTCTCAGAAGCTGGAAGAGAAACTAATATGTTGCATTTGCCTGGAGATATTTTCCACCCCTGTGACCGTGCCTTGCGGGCACAGTTTTTGTGAGAAGTGTATCACCAGCCACTGGGACAAAGAGGAACAAGGACTCAACGGGCAGAAGGTCTGCACCTGCCCCGAATGCCGGAAAAGCTTCCCAGAGAGGCCCGCACTCAGCAAAACCGTCCAGCTTGACAGCCTGGTGGAGCTGCTGAGACTGGAAGACGCGCCCCCGCTTGAGCCGGAGAAGGCAGCTGCTTCTCCGGCGAGGAAGTGCCCAACGCACGGCCGGCCCTTGGAGCTCTACTGCCTGACCGAGAAGCGCTGCATCTGCTGCGTCTGCACCGTGAGGACGTGCCCGCAGCACAGGAGGGCGCTCTTGGAGGAGGAGCGGAAGGCGAAAGAAGTAAGCGGGGCGGCCGGGCTGTTCGTGGGACGCTCCCGATAGCGAGTGCAATCTGCGGCCCAAACTTACAGAGCCTTTTTTTTTTTTTAATTCAATTCATATAGCCGTCCAACTCACTCACGGTGACTCCGGGCGGCTTCCAGAAAGAAAAACCCCAAATACAAAACCCCCTACATCCGCCCGCCCCCCTTGGCAACCGCAACGCATTTGCGGTAGCCCTTTGAGGGGCTCCGCATCAACCTGGGATCCCCAGGCCTGCTGGCAAAGCCATGACTTCAGGGCCTTGCGGAAGAGGATCGAGGTGGGGGCCACCCTAATCTCTGCAGGGATGATGTTCCACAGGGAGGGAGCCACCATGGAGAAGGCCCTTCTTCTCAGTCCCTAGATGGACCTTCTTAACGGGCAGAACTCGTCAGACACCCTGCCTCCCCAATCTGGTGGGTCAGGCAGATGAAATTGGGGAAAGGCGGTCCTTCAAATAACCTGGCCCCAAGCCATGTTATGGGCTGTAAAGGTGATAACTGGCACCTTGAATTGGACCTGGAAGCAAATCAGCTCCCCCAAGAGAGGTGACACATGTGCAAATCTGGACTTGCACAAAGCCATGCAGGCTGCCACAGTCTGAACCTTTTCAAGGGCAGCCCCGTGTCGAGCGCAGAGGCATCTAATGCTGAATGGAACTAGACTGTATGCCCTGTATGCCTAGAGCGTGTTGGCATGGCTCTGATTTTCAAATACTATAGTCATCTGTGGCACTCAGTTGTGGACTGGGATGTGTCCATAGATCCAGCTGTAGTAAGAATGAACATTGGTCTGCTTAGATTGAGGTTTCCCTTCTTTTCAGCCCAGCAACACCGAGGTCCTATTCTGGTGTTAAAATAAAGAGAACAGTGTCCCTGCTGAATGCGACATTTGCCCCAAATGGAACCAGGCAAATACATTCCAATGTAACAGAATTAAGAAGGGTTAGAGTTATAATTTTCTGAGGTGCTTTAAAGTATCTTAGCAAAGCTCCAACATCTCATGAAATTGTATTTCCTGAGATTTTATTTATGTATTTCACAGTATTTGTAATCTGCTCCAGTCCCAAAACACACTGTGCAGCTAACAACAAAACAGGATTAAAAATCAAAATAGAAACAATAAGGAAAAAAAATACAACAGCTAAATCTGGGATCACTGGCCATAATGAACCCAGGCCAAAGGCACATTGGAATAGTACTGCTTTACGGTAGTTGTTTTCTGAGATTGAGTAGCAGGGCTCTTGCGTGTCTGGGGGAAGAGTATTCTACAAGGTAGGGGCTACTACAGAGAAGGCCTATTGCCTGACTCTCAAATCATGCACAGCTTGAAATTTGTAATTGTTTTGTAGTGGTGGTATTTCACATGAGTTATGATTTTGACTTGAACCTAAGTCTAGATCTGAAGGTCTTGCTAAATCCAAATTATTACCATGGTTCAATACAAATGCGAGTTGACCCAATTGGCCCGTATACCATAAAGTTTTTTCTGAGCCCATCACTCTTTCTGAAGTGCATAGCAATTCCAGGATCTTCGCCACCTTGTTCCCATAATGCACACTGGCAGTAAGGTGACATTAATAGAGCTGTAGGACCTTTCCAAAAGATAACACGTGTAGAACTTTGGAAGAAATATCTGAAGGAATATGCCAACGTCTTGTGAATTTTTTTCTATAGGGCTGGAAGGATCAAGGAAAGTATGAAATGCTTGCCTATTTGAACTTCTAGTCTTCTTTGACAGGAGTCAATAAAGGAAACCTTGGAGGAAAAGCAAAAGGAGGCAGAAAAGATTGAAGCAGAAATCCAGAAACTGGAGCAGCAGATGGACCATATTAAAGTGAGTCCTGTAGAAATAGTTTGTGCTTCAACAGTGCTCATTTTAACTGCTCTTGTAGCAGTTGCTGAATAAGCAAAGAGGACTTCACTCCACCCGCCACCCCCCACCCCGACTTTACCAGCTCGTGTCCACAAGGTAAAGACCACCACCTCTTCCATTGCCCTCCTTCCACATTTTGTTTTGTTGCCACATGGTGCCTTAAGAAATGTGGAGAGAAACATTAGCTGCTATGGAGGTAACTTCCTGTTTTGAATGTTGGCTTTCTACCTGTTCCCCCAGGTTTTCTCAATGAAGTTCAGATCAGGAATTTTTCAAAAGTTTGAGCATCTCATGGAAACCCTAAAAGAATGCCAGAAGAAGGTGGTGGAGAGGGCTGAAAGTGAGCATGCAGCTCTGGTAAAGCAAATGATGGAGAACTGGAATTGCCTACAGCATTATATGGAGACTTTCACACAATACAACAAGACCGTGGAAGGGCTGCTGAGCTGTGCTGATGATATAATGTTTCTTGAAGTGGGTAAAAGATATGTGCCGTCTGTGTGTCATGAGAGTGTTGCTCTCATCGTGCTCTTAATGACGTTTCTTTGCCAAGCTGTGCGATTGGGATCAGGGTGTCAAAAGCCAGCAACTTCAGAAGCCTCCAATCATTTTTTTTTTTTGACCCTGTACCTGCATTTCAAATGTTGAGAGCACGTTATGAGCACTAGCACAAATAACTTTAAAACAGTTGCCACAGTAGGTGTGTAGTTACTAGAAGCTAATGGTCTCTCTGGCCTCAGGACACTCCTTACTACCTCTTTCTGGCTCCTTTTCCTGGACAAGCAAGTGTAACCAGTCACTGTTTTTCTTTCAAAGGATTACTTGGGGGGCTTTCCAAAACTAAAGATGATGCTGGGGGTGACTGTTTTGCTTTAATTTGTTTTTTTCAGTGAAAAGAATCTCTTAAAAGTTGTTGTAAAAGTGAGGTGAGTTAGTCTGGCAAATACCAGAGTTGCTATCTACATGCTCATCAGAGCCCATAGGAACTCTACATTTGTCAGGTAGAAAGCAAAAAAGGATTAGCTAATCAACAAGGGAGGCAGTTGAAAACAGCCCTCTGTTCACTCCAAAGCTTGCTGGTGGCTGGCTTTCTCCCACTCTAGTTGTAAAGGATTCTGAGCAGCATACGTCCCTCCCTTAATAACTCAGGTTGAAACCAATACAATGAAAGCAACCATATCAGTAATAGCAATATAACATGTTTATAGCACTAGGGACATTAATCAAATTAAACAATTCAGTCAAGCCCATAAAAGAAACCTTCTGTTGCCAGAGGGAATAAGCATTCCAGCCTCCAAGGCCTGATGGAATCACCATGTTTTAATGGCCTTTTGGAAAACCAGTAGGGAAGAGGCCATTTAGATGTTTTGGGGGGGGGGGATGCCGTTTCATAGAAAGGGGGCAACAGTTACTTCTGTGGTCCCCGGAGATGACATTTCCTGAGCCAAGGGATACGGAGGGAGCCCACACTTTCATTGAACAAACTGATGTTATTGTAAGCGTACAGTTCCACAGATATTTGGGTCCTGAGCCATGAAGGGCTTTAATGTCAACCCAGTACCTTGAACTGCACCCAGAAATCAACTGGCAACCAGTGTAGCTCTCCAATCAATCAACTGGCAACTAGTGCAGAGTAGAGGTGTTATGTAGGAAAATTGTAACTACTCAAGCCACCACATTCTAAACCCTCTGTAGCTTCCCAAAGGTCTTCAAGGGTGGTCCCATGTAGGGTACACTGCGGTACAGATAATCCTCAGTTCAGCAACCATTTGAAGTTACAACAGCACTGAGCAAGTGGTACTTATGACTGGTCCTTTACGTTCCGGTCCTTTAAGCCTGCTGCAAAGCAAAGTCAATGGGAAGCCGGCAGGGAAGGTCACAAGTTGCTCGGGTAAATCTCTCCCACCCTGCAGCAGCTACCCCCAGCCCTGTTATGCCTTGCCAGCCCCTTGTGCACCCTGCAGCAACCACCTGCAGCCCTGCCACACCTGTGCAGCACCAGCCACCTGCACACCTTGCAGCAGCCATCCCAAGCCCTGCCATGCTCACACTGTGGCACGCCGCACCAGTCCTCCCACACCCAGCTGCAGCCAGTTACCTGCCTGCCAGCCTGCTTGCTAGCCGCCTGGGACTTAAAAATTCTTGCCATCCCCCCACTGAGTTTGCTTGTTGGAAGCCAGCAGGAAGTTGCAAGGAGGACCTTTCTTAATGATCCATGATCCTTGCTTAATGACAGCAATGGGGACTGCAGGGATTGCCATCACTAAGCAATGCAGTCATGTGACGACGTGCTTTATGACTGCATCACTTAGCAACAGAAATTCCAGTCCCAATTACCGTCATTAACCAAGGACTACCTGTAGTCTACTTAAGATGTAACTAGGGCATGAGTGACTATGAATAGAAGCTCCCATTCCAGGAGAGATTGTAACTGACACATAAGATGAAACTATGTGAAGGCTCTCCTCACCACAGTTACTATCTGCTCATCAAGCGAAAGTTGCAAGTCCAAAAGGATGTCAAACTACAAGCCATTTTGGGGGGGGGGAGAAGGGGGCAAACCTATCTAGAACTAAAGATGACATTTTAGAATCAAAGCATTTCCAAAACACAAACCCAATCTTGCTGGGATTAAGCATGAGCTTGTTCTTCCCTATCCAGAACAGCACTTTGTTGGCATTATCTGTTCAGCCCAGAGTCAAGTTGCAAAGTTGAGTATCATTTTCATTCTGATGATACCTGACTCCATATCAATGGATGACCTAACCCAGAGATTTCATGTAGATATTAAATACAGCAGGGAGAGTGCTAACCTCCATGGTGCCCAACAAATGATGTGCCAAGGACTCAATTGCCTTCCCCCCCATTTTAGTGTGGCTTCATTAGCCATGCTAAAGAGTGAAGCTGAAGTGTCGTTGGGAAGAGGGGATTCCAGTAAGGATACATCCCCCTAACTTGGGTTGGAAGATGCCTTGGCAGTCTTTCTCATCTCCAGCCCATCTTGAGTTTTTCTAAATCAGTATGGAAATTGTGTTTTCCATCTTCACCTGACAAGCCTTTTACATATAGGTAGTTCTCATTTAGTGACCGCAACTGGGACCAGCAATCCGGTCATTAAGAGAAGCAGTTGCTAAGTGAAACTCTGATTGTGTTTATGATCTTACTTCAGTGTTTCTTTGCTTTACAGTCCTGCGAAGATCATAAATGCAAGGATTGGTTGTAAAGTTATTTTTTCATCACCATCATAACTGCGAATGGTTGCCAAACAAGGACTACCTGTACATGATTTGTATCATTTCTCTGGTAATGATATGGTTGGAGCTGAGATCTGCCCAGATCCTATTGGCTGTTTTTAGCCGCTGTGGGAACACAACCTTTTCTCTGGTCACTGTCAATATCTAGCCATGTTCATTTTGATAACATGTTGCTTTTGATGCTACTCTAGTTTATCAGAACTGTCTAGAAACAAATATTCTGACAAGCAGGTTGTTCTGTGGGGCATTGCAGTCCAGACATTTTTTCCATATGGATCTGATAATTCACACCAAGGTCACAAGAGTATATCATCATCATCATCATCCCACCCCAGTGAGGCACTACCTTGACGTGGTTGTGGGGCATTGTTGTTGTTATTTAAAGGTTCTGTTCTGACAGGTGACTAGAAGGCAGTGCTCTGGTCATCTGTCAAAGTTTACCACCTCCCCCAGTCCACTTTAGGGAAAGTGATTAGGGGATGTGTTACCTGTCAGCAGGAAATCCACCAATCACATCTTAACTTACACCATAGTAAACTATTAGGACAGTACCGCTCACTGGTCTCATTTCAGAGACGGAGACTAGCTATGTACAATAAAAAGTAACATTATAGAAAAAGCAAATTATATTGATATACTTTGTGCCATCTTACGGACAAGAGGAAAACACATTAAACTGGATTATTAGATGTGCCCTAAGTGAGCTTCTCCCTTTTTAAATAGAAGAGGATATTCATTCAGTGAAAGGAAGTATTTAGACAGAATTGAACATTAATAAACTTAAGGTTATTAATCTCAACATAAAACCAAGAATCCGGAGTGTGTTATGTTGACCTTCATGACTATTCTTGTTTTGCATCTGATGGGCTGAATAGTGTCAAGTAATAATGCTCAAGCAGATAACCAATAACCTAACCAATGCAGGTATCATGAACAGCGGCTTTTATTTACTTGTATTTGAAATATTTATCCCTTGTTTTTCAATATAGCCCCCAAAGTATCTTACAGTATAATTAAAACAATTACAAATAGCAATTATAAAAAAAAATACTGGAAAATTAAAGAATCACTGTATAGTCAATTTGATTGGGCAACCATTTTGAATCATTAAATGATGGATCATCACTGGCTGACTAAACTCACAATGGCAAGCTATGATTTTTCATGCTATTTATATGTGGCTTGTTTTGAGTGAGCTATAATAGCCAACTTCATATATAATGCTAAGGCATAATGGCAAGATTCATATACACAACCCAGTAAGTGAAAACAAATTCCATTCTGGCTTAGTGTGATGTGGACTGAACCAGTATAATATTTAGGTACTTTGTCAGTTGCATAAAGACAGAATTTCCATAGATGAGATGCTCTTAGCAGGCGGAAGAGCAGGGAGCTGGAATTTGACAAAAATCATAGCAATTAAGCATGTTGGCTGGTGTGGGTCTTCTGGGCTGTGTGGCCGTGTTCTGGAAGTTTTGTTTCCTAATGT